TCTGTGTACACACACACACACACACACACACACACACACACACAGTAGCACCAAACTCTATTTTAAACTTCATATGTGAGCATAGTACAAATAAGTTCTAATCCCCCCCACACACCCCAAGAATCACACAAAAGGAGCCTCTTAACACTTTTAAAAAGTCACTCCCTCAATAGAACAGGATAAGATTTTTTTTTCTTCTCTCCCGCTTCCTGAAATGGCCAGCAATAAATGATTAACTAAAAACCACGATATCTGGTTACAGCTTTTCAGGTGATCGAGTTGCGAATCGGTTGAAATGTAACGTACAGAATTTGCCTAGCTTTATTTATTTATTTTTGGTTCTTTTCCTGGAACACCAACTGTATTTTATGATCGCTGTTACTTTAATGGGAAACAATTTCGGGGTAATAGATTTCACTCTTAAATTAACTCCTAGCTTCAAAGGCAAGGAGTGGTGGTGGACTCGAACTCTTGCCATCAGCTCATGAATACACGATAGATAGATAGATTAGATAGATTTTTAAAATAAGGATCGAGGCTCAGTGTCAGGGGGTAGTATATATTCTCGGGTTTCTAGGTTTACCTACAAAGCCAAACCAAATCTCCCACTACCAAATCATTGACTGTTCTGATGGACATACACCTTTCTAATGAAGGCTAATTCCAAATCCAGTTAATACTTACAGAGATTTATAGACCAAAAAATTGATATTATACTATTATGATTTGCCCAGTGCAGATGATTAACCACCAATATTTCTTTAAACCATGTTTTTGTCCTGCAGTATAACGAGGGTGCTGGAATAATGTCGAGTACTTAAATCCCATTTATTAATTTAATCCGTGTGTGTGTGTGTGTGAAATGCTACTTTTGCATTGCCACACAGTTATGTAGAGCAACCCAACAGAGAAATGAAAAAAGACTGAGCCTTAATGTATGCACAGAAAATTGTAAACATGTAAAGAACTGAAAGCTTCACGCTGAGGTTTGCCATGCTCCATTTCCTTACCATTTCCTGCTGTCGTTTTAAAGCGCTCTCACTCATCTAGAGATTCCGTTTGCAGGAACAGTATGCTCATAATTACTAACAAATCAAGCGGCTACTGTTGCTCTCTCGGTTTATTGATAAGCTGAAGAGAAATGGAAGGGAAAATGACAATGAGGCCGAAAGGACCAGGAGAATCAATTTTTTTTTTCAAAGGTGGAGGGGAGGTTTTGAGGGACAATGGGAAAGGAGACACACACAAAAGAGTTTGGGAGAAAAAAATTGTGAAAGTGACAACAAGATCAGCATAAATTGGACAAAGCAAAACATGCAAGAAGTAGGCAGAAACTTGTGTGTGCGTGTGCTGTGTCCTTCTATGGACAATTATTATGAGGCATAAAACCAGATTTGGAAAACACATAGATGTAGGTAAAAATACTCCAGGGAATACAGTGTATAAATGTTTAAATAAATGCATTTTACACACAGCCTCTAAAATCTCAAAATTATATTATCTCTGGTAATAGTTCTAATATCTTTGTAATGATAGAGATAGATAATTAATCCATTCCATGGTAAACTCACTTTTTTAGGAGTGGCAGGTAATTTACAAAAGATAGAGTATAGATTAGAATACATATCTCTGAAACTATGAAATCGCAATAGATATGCTTGCATAGGCTTGTAAGTTTCCTAAATGTGTTTAGAATTATTATACTCAAGTGATCTTGATGTATACCTAGTCCCTTTTGTATAGTTATTGTAAAGAACAATCGCAGAAGTTTGCAAAGCATAGCAGGGAAGAGGACTAACTTGCTTATCAAAATAAATTTGCATGAAAAAAAATATTGAACATAATAAATCCATTTTTCAAAGGTTAACTAATGTAACAAATGCTCCATACAGGGCAAAGCAAATTGGGAGAGAAATGTTTAAACATATCATGTGTTCAGCTCTCTCTGTTGTGAGTTTAGACGAAGATCAAATTTTCTTAGGACTGTTGTCTCTTGTTTAATTTCTCAGTTCACTGGACAGTGACCTGATAAACTAGTCACTAAATATAGGTACTGGAAAGGTGTATCAAAACCTTTGTGTTTGTTTGTTGGCGTGGAGAAAATTGCAAAGTGAAATGATCTCAGTTGTTAGTGGTCCTTTAAAGGATTAGTGATTTCACAGCGTGTGCATGTTCATTTATTTTCAAAACAACTCGATTGTGTCTTGATGGGGGCACTTGAGTGACTCTGCAAAACATCTTACTTGAAAAATGTAGCGCAGAGGGGAGAGGGTTTTTTTTTTTAACATATATCCTTAAAGCATCCTAAAACCAAAGGATCTGACTGATCAATGGAGACAATGACAACATTCCTATTAATAGCAATGGAAAAACCGCCTCGGGCCTCTGCCCCTCTTTTATAACTGTTTTGTGCCAATTTCAAGTTTTTTGACGGGCTAGAGTTGAGAAGCTGGAAACGTCCTTCCGAAGCTGTATACGTTGTCTTACTCAAAATAATACGAAATGGGAATCCGTTTCAGTTTCTGATCCCCCCCACCCAGTAAAGCCACTCAAAATAATTTGTTTACATTAGAGACTATATGCAGTCTATTTGAAGCAATCTGTCTATATGAAATCTACATGCGTTTTGGGTTTGCGCTGTTATAGAGGTTTTATTGTTGGAGTCTGGCCTGGCGGTAGGAAATAATTTATAATAAAAACAGCGAAACCCTGTTGTGTCTATTCCATACACGGAGGTTATAAAATTGGCAGTTGCCCAGTTGTTAGCACTTGTTAAGGTATTAGGATATCCGATCTTATTGTTCAGCAGCCCCAGACGACTTAAATATTCCCCCAACTCCAATGGGTTGATTCTCCAGACATGCTGCAAATAAATAGGGTTTTATGATTTAACTGGCATGTATTATAAGTACCTAAATAGCTGGCATATTTGTGTAGTCGAACCTATTACTTGCAAAATTGGTTTTGCCATTGATTGACTGGCAATGCGATATTGCAAAGGAGAATCTGCTGTACAGGGGTGTGTAATCAATTAGTCTTCTCTGTAAAATATGCCCCCTAGACTACCACCAGCGAATCTAGAATTTAGGAATACACGTTCTATAAGGAAATGAGGCTGCGGTGATTCCAAAAGAGAGCGGCAGTAGCAGCTGTCAGCTCTTATTAACTCCTGCATAAAACATACCTTAAGTATGGTTTGTTATCAATTACTTGCAGAAATGAAACAACTGGGAAAATGCTGCGACGCTGTCTATAAATTAAAGTGATTGGTTGATTGATTAGAGCACCTGCTGTAAATCATAACAGTTACACACAATTATGAACAAGCTATTTAAGTTGATTTGTAAACAAAATTCATACCAGGAGGGAATTGCTTTCATTTTTAGTTTAGCAAAAGAAGTGTTGGTTCCTAATTGTGTCTGTTTGGTGTTAGAAGAATTAGAATGTTATAAGTCCTTCGGTTTTTCCTAAAGCAATCTTATTTGTTACTCAGAGAAATTAACTACTTTGTCTGGTACTAGTTAAGGGGCAAACTTTTAAAAAGAAATCCCCTGGTGTATTTTTGTTGCTGTAATCAGACCAGTTTTATTTAGAAACTGAATACTCCCACTTTTTTTTCTGTTTGTTATATAATATGCTAAACAATCTGATACCAGACTATTTTCTAATGCACCTTTTTAGGGGGGAAATAATTGTGCTAATTATGTTGCACAAAAGAGGGGGAGGGATAGCTCAGTGGTTTGAGCATTAGCCTGCCAATCCCAGGGTTGTGAGTTCAATCCTTGAGGGAGCCACTTAGGGATGGGGCAAAAACAGTACTTGGTCCTGCTAGTGAAGGCAGGGGGCTGGACTCAATGATCTTTCAAGGTCCCTTCCAGTTCTAGAAGATAGGATATCTCCATTTAAAAAAAAAAACTGTCTTATTAGAAGCCCAAAACAACACTAAAGTAATCCTTTCCTTGCTAAATTCTGTAGTCCCGATTCTCGCTTAAACCAGTAACTCCTTTGACTTCATTAGAATGTTTCCTAGTTGTTATCATTGTTAGTAATAGAAGTATTAGGAAGAGGAGTATTAATATTCTTGTAACCCAGCAATGTGCCCGGCGCTGTCCATTACACAAGAAGATATAGCTCCTGCATGGCAGGGCTTACAAAGAAATAATTTAGGAAGAAATACACTTAAAATACATTTATAATATACATATTTTTTTTAATTGTCAAACCAATATACATCAGCTGTACTCCACTGCACCTCTACCTATCCATTATCACCCATCTAGGTCAATTTCCTGTAGACTCAAGGCAACGGTGACTCTTATTGGTGTAGCTACTAGGAAACTCTGGGCCTATGAATTCACTTTTCTTCAGATGTGCTATGGATGTCAGACTAGCCAGTTTGGACAGTTTGCACTCTTATGTGTCATCATGTTACATACCTCCACACTCACCCCTTCTTTCTCTCTCCAGTTCCAGTTCCTCCAAAATCTGTTACTTCTCTGATGATGAATAAAGATGGCTTCCTGGGTGGAATGTCAGTCAATACCGGAGAGGTGTTTTGCTCAGTACCTGGCCGCTTGTCCTTGCTCAGTTCCACTTCAAAGTATAAAGTAACCGTGGGAGAAGTTCAAAGACGCCTCTCGCCTCCAGAGTGTCTGAATGCATCCCTCCTAGGAGGAGTACTTAGAAGGTAAGGGCTTGCAGCAAGTGTGGGTATTTACGTAGACACACACATAGACTAAGCATTTTGTCTAAAGTCTACACTATGGTAAAGACATTTGCAAATATGTGTTGTTTTTATGTTGTAGTTGTGTGTGTAGAACTCAAGGCAAGGCAAAAATAAGCAGCAACAGGAAAACATGGAAATGAATGCATAAAGTTACGTTAGCGTACAAGACTCTGAGAAGGCAGCTCATAGTAAGGTCAATAAGGGATCTCTCTCACACACGCACACACACACGCACTTACTTTACTTCCCAACTCTCTCTTACATACACATTAATCTACTCAAACATACGTTTTAGAGGAAGGCTTCTATTTAAATAAAAGGTCTTCTCTATGAATACAGGAGTTATAGGTAAGACAGCTTAGCTACTATGATTTTTCCCTGTAAAAGAAACAGATTTAAAACAAAGAAACTGTATTTATTTATTTATTTATTTATTTATATTAGTTAGGAAGTTTGAAGAAGTTTACAAATCCTTGCCAATTAAATATCAGAAATAAAGCAATCATTACAACAGGTAGCTTTTGTTTAAAGAGGCATTATGCCAGAATATAGTCATCGGATATTTCTGTTTTAAAAGGTGTTACTCTATTACAGAGTGAGCATCATTACACCTACAAAATGTCCTTTCTAGTGAGTTTATTGAATTTAGTGACATCTCTGTATACACATATTTAAGGACCAGGCATGTCTATTAAATGCTAATATTAAACAAAAAAGGACATAGTGTGATGGGGTTTTTTTTCAGGTGAATTTACTTTATCTGATATTGACCAAAAAGTAACCAGATATCTAAGTATCTATTTGTCCTCTGTCTAATTTGCTGGGTACATAATTGGTGTGTTATTTTTTTCCATATCAACAGCCTCCCATAGTTTTTGAACCATTCCTCTAGGGTTGGACTAATTTTCCTTTTCTAACGAGAAGCTACCAATAGTCCAACATCTACTAGAAGATGAGAGATTATTAATTCTTCATTCCCTCTTGTGTGTGACCATTTCCACTGGGAAGCTCTTGAAGGATTACCAAAGGATTATTTGGTGATAAATATCCAACAAGTTGTGATATTTAGTTACAGGTTTTATCCCGATACTTTCTAATGACTGGACATGTCCACCATATATACATAAAATCTCCACTTTAATCCCAATTTCTCCAACATTTATCCCCATTTTACATACACATACCCACTAGATAGATAGATATGTTATTTAAGGTACTGTTTCTGTGCTACCTCACACCAGTCAGGTTAATGTGAATATATTAAAGAATATTTATTTTATTGTAATATAGGCAGGTTGCTGGTCCTCCTTCCCATAGCAAATCCCAGTCCTCTGTGGTGCCCATGTCCTTCTCCCAGAGTGTCATATGTGGACATATTGTTAGGAAAGAAGAAGCCAGATTTTTTTACTTACAGATGCTAATCTCCCTGTGCATTGTAATAGAAAGTGGCGCAAAGAGAACATCTGCAAGAGAAATTTCAACTAGAAAATATAACTAGCAAGGTTAAACACATACATCGTTATTGAGCCTCAGTGATTTCTGGAGAAGACCCAGGACCCAAACAGTGGACTATGCTGACTTTACTTTGTATCTTGAGTCTAAATTTTAGAGAAGCTTTTGGTTCAATATCTATATTTCAGAGCATGTGAAATATAGATAGCTGCTCTCTTGCAACTGTGCCATTGGTTCCTATCTCCTTTGGCACAAAATACTGACAGACCAGAATCTAGGTAGGGAGACTTTCTCTACAGGATTTGACTTCCTTTCATATTCCTTATATGCAATTAAAGAAGCTGTTAGTGATAAAAGATCTGGGGTGAAATCCTGGAGTGCTGAGGTCAATGGGAAAACTCCCATTGACTTCAATGGAGCCAGTATTTCACCCCGGATTTTAAACCATCTGTATAAAACTAGACCTGGCCCTAACAATAACTCTGCGTTTCCCATGTATATCACAGTCTTCCTTTTAATGTCTCTATCAATAATTTCCTGTATAGATTCCATTAGGTGCTCTTATCACTAAGTATTCATGTCCCATATATAATGTAGCTGTTCCAATAGATAGGTCAACATTTCCTGTATAATATCTATTGAATTCTTCCTTAGGTGTTCTTATCAATTTCCCGTATATCTTCCATGCTTCCTCTAGGTATACCCTATCAGTTCATCCCATACTTCTGTCTTTCCACCTAGATATACAATCGTATCCTAATACGCCTTAGTCTTATACTGTAGGAACCAATTTGGTTTCTTCCATAACAGCAGCGTATACAGAAGTTATTTCATTCTGTGCATTTGTTTTCTGTAAGTTAAAGAGGGAGGGGGAACCTAGTCAGTTGTGTGTGGCAAAAATTAAGCAAACCTCAGCAAACTCTATCAGCAAGCGCGGGCACACACAATGTGCTAACCTCAAGTTAAAACCCCTTCAAGCTCCAGTGGTCTTTAGATTGCACAGTCTAAAAGTTTGTTTCAGGGACATTCCGAGGTTAATCAGAATGTTAATTTCTTTGCAATTCCAGAGCCAAATCGAAAAATGGGGGGAGATCGTTGAGAGAGAGGCTAGAAAAAATCGGTTTGAATTTACCAGCCGGCAGGCGTAAGGCCGCAAATGTCACTTTACTCACCTCCCTGGTGGAAGGTAAGCGGTGAATTGCAAGCTCGCTTCACACTATTGGCTGCTCCGAAGTCTTTTCGGTTTGGGAGTTTGACATTTTGCAAAGTTTCATGGATTAAGTGGAAATCGTTGCAGCGGTGGCATTAAGATCTGTTTAGCATGCATAATACTGGGTGAAATTAAGACTTTAAGGATCCCATTTAAGTCACGCTGAAGTCACTGATCAAACTCCCATTAACTCCAATGGGTGTCTTGAATTCAGGTTCGCTAAGTGAGATCTGCAGAATCGAACTTTCTCTGCAGTTATCCAAATATTCCCATTCCCTACTTTTGTGGATTTCCAGGTTGTTCCCTTTGAATAATGGTCTAGTCCAGTGGTTCTCAAACTTTAGTATTGGTGACCTCTTTCACACAGCAAGCCTCTGAGTGTGACCCCCCCCCTTATAAATTAAAAACACTTTTTTATATTTAACACTATTCTAAATGCTGGAGGTGAAGCGGGGTTTGGGGTGGAGGCTGACAGCTCCCGACCCCCCACGTAATAATCTCACGACCCCCAGTTTGAGAACCCCTGGTCTAGTCTGTGCTGGGTCCAGAATTTTAGCTAATTCATTACTTCCAACCTTAATTATGACAGATGCACATTACAATACGGCCATTGAACGAAAATAATAAAGAACTATTTTTTTTTTAAATTTCGGCAAGGGAAAGCGGTTATTACAAATTAACAGTTATAAGTACAGTTTACCTGAGGGTGAAAGTTTAACAAAGAAACAAGCGAGCCCTTTCTTTAAGAAGAAGGGGAGGGGCGGGGGGGATACAAGAAAGAAACAAAAGGAAAAAACCGGAATACTCGAGTTATACCTCCTCTTAAATGAACAAACGCTATCCCGTACTTGACGTGATGCTCTGATGTTGGTACTGTATTGAAATGTGGAATCCACAAGACTCTCACTTGTTTTTTTAGGAAATACTATATTTATTCTGGGGTAAACTGGCTCTTCAGAAATTATAACTAACAATTATGTGGATGTAATTATGAATTATATGTATTTATATTATACATACACAAAGAGGCGAGTAACATTCAATATGTACAATAACACACTATGTCGTATCTCATATGCATGTGCCTATAGTTTTGTACTATATATTAACTTTTACATTCTTCTGATTTAATTATAAATGCAATACATAGTTACACACTCATATGTGAAATCAAAATCAAGACTATATTCGTTCTAGTTATAAGTATTGTTTCTATTTTGACGATATAGTATATCTATATATTCATAAATCATAGTACATAACATGAAAATGCCGATCAAACTATGAATGCATAGTTAGACACTATATACAAACATTTACCATGTGAGAAAATACATTCATCGTCTGATATGCATATTCATATATATTAATTAATACATAGTTTCAAACACACACCCCAAGCACACCCCATACCTATGTCTATGCAGAGTGTGTGTGTAAAACTATGCATTCACATTAACAGCAAAATCAGAACATCTTAAAAGTTGACACATAGCACAAATGTATGTGCAGATCCATATGTTTGTGTGTGTGTGTGTGTGCAAATACATTATATATGGATATAAAACTATACGACGTTTACATCATTATATATTATGTTACTGTCCTCTGATTTACTTACAAATCAACAATTTACCTTAAAAGATTTCCCTTCTCCTATAGAAAGTTGCGCCTGCTCTAGATTTTTCTTGTTTTCTGACAATAGGGTTTTTTTTCTTGTTAAATTATGTTGCCTATAGCATAAATGTTTCACTCATCTCTGGCCAGGATTAACAAAAAGCAGTGAGGATGGTGTCTCTGCACATAATTGGGTGGGGGGTGGGAGGAGGGGAGATAACCGTCCATTGGAATTCTGGCATTTGGCGGACAGTGTGATTCATCTTTTTGGTGATTATTGAGAGAGCTTTTTTTTTAAAAAAAATGACGTTTTAAAGTAAGTCCTGATCGTTAAAAATAATGTGGTACTAGAATTATTAGACATAGCTGGTTTGCGTGTTAGAAATCTTCCTCGTGGTCCTCCGGGCGGTGCTTTAAAGAGTTTAATGCTTTATTCTAGAGGGGTTGTGCTATAATCTGATGGAATCCCCCTAGAGTCTGTTTCCCCACACCCCCTTTCTTCAGCTACTGTGTCGTCGTCTTCTTCTTGTGGTAGAAAGTACATCAGTAGGAGTTTGATGACACGAACCTCTGGAGGGTAGAAACCTGAAGCCAGGCAGGCAGAGGAAATGCCAATTAGAATGATAGTTAGAATAATTATTATTTTTCATATGAAAGGTCCCCTTCATTGGGATTCTTTTTTTTTTTTTTGGTAGGGTGAGGGTGGAATGGGTAGCTTCTGTTGTATTGTGATCAGACCTATGCAAAACTTCACTTTCCATTGGATACAATGCAGTTGGCTGCTTTGTTTTCCAGATGTGGCTATAAGTTGTGTGTGTGTGTGTGTGTGTGTGTGTGTGTGTGTGTGTGTGTGTGTGTGTGACGCACACGGGATAT